AAACAAAAGGTCATATATTCATAAATGTTTTAACATATTTTTTTATTTTGGAAATAAATTGATGCACAGTCATCAGCTTCACTGCTTATATGCACTCACTGGCCAATTTATTAGGAACATTCTAATATGAGGTAAGGACCTCTTTAACAGGCACACGGGAGAAGATTACCTTCAGGGCTTTTTGGTATAAAGCCTAAGGGCAGATTTCTCCCGTGTGCTATTACCGGTGCTGATCTTTACTCATTCTTGCTCAAGTTAACGTTAACTTGTGCTTAAAGTAACTTCACACTGCTGATATGCCTTGACCCTTAGATTTATTAAATGAATAATCCAGCAGTATTTGAAATGCTAAGGTTGATTAAGGTTCGAGGCAACTGTGCACACAGTTAAATTACTAGGTGGCCAATGTAACCTGAACACCTAAGCTAATGATAGTGCTACATATATTAAAATGCTAAAACTAAACATGAGACATAGCAAACTAAAGTCAGTGTTAACGTTTATGTCACATATTTTGCACTTGGTTTTGTTTTCTGTGGTAACGTAGCTGAAGTTATTCTATAAGTCACTTCTTCTTTTTCTTCCAACGAGAGGAAGAGCCATACTGAAATAAACGTAGCCTGCTGCATGTCACACTGTGTGCCTCGAGTTCACAAGTGGGAGGTGGTTGTTTTTAGCGATCCTGAGGATACTGTGTGGTACTGATATTACTGAAAAGTAATATGTGCGGATGAATGGATGGATGGATGAATGGATGGATAGATGGATGGATGGATGGTTTTCAGTCTTTCACATTATCGTTCAGTTGTTATTCAATGATGAAAAGTGTAGTACATTTTGTCACAGTTCTTGTTTTCAAATGTTACTTTTTATTTATTTCTTGTGTCGTTTTCATCATGAAAAATAGGTTGACAACTTTTTTTTTGGTAGTTTTTGTTTATAAAATTAACAATGGAAATAAACATTAACTGGAGCTCTTGGACCTTGTCCGCATGGTTTAACCCCTTAACAAGCCAAGGTGTATTACACACTGATATAACCTCAGAATAGCTCCATTAGCTTGCATTAAAGTCCCTGAAGTTACTGAACATTAAGTCTCAGTATAAAATAAACCTGGAATATTAAGGCGTTAATGCACTGCACTGCTGTCACATGATTGTGTGGCTAATTTCTAATCAAATAGAAATGTAAACAGGTTTCCAGTACCTTCATTAAAGGAATGTGAAAAAATAAGAACAGACCACGCCCAAAAACGTGCAGTCTTGTGAGTGGAGGTGGAGTCAATAACTTTAGAAACACAAGTTTTATTTTTGTTTGTATGTTTATTTTCTTATACCTTGGAAATTGTAGCACATGAATAACAATATGGTACAGTTGGGAAGGTTATTCATCATAAATTTGGTGCATTGAAAGATTTTTAGCCCAAAAGAAAACTAGGTATGCAATAATACAGACATGTAGCTTTAAAAGTATGCATTCTTAATACCCTTACTTCTGTTCTTGCCATAAGAAGTGAATGTTTCACTCTGTTAGTAGACTGTCTGAGAAAAGAAATACATTTTCACATGCACTGTATATACTGAATACATTGGAAATATCACAAATTCTAGATTTAGGTTTTGAAATACACAACAGTACATCTAAATATATTCTGTGTTCATGCAGGAATCATCACCAATTACATCAGCTTTATTAACGGCTTAAGATTCAAAGAGACAAAAGTTGATAACAGACCATATGAATGTGTACCGTATGTACAGCATAAAGCTGAAGCTTGCTCTGTTTTTGCTAATACTTTAAAATCACACAGGCTAGGGTTAAGTTGTACAAGATCCATTTTGTTCAGTATATTATTTGAAGATATATTAAAATACAAACCCAATTCCAAAGATGTTTAGACAGTAGTGCAAATAAAAAGTTAAAGCAGTGATTTGTAAATTCACTTTGACCTTTATTTAAATGAAAACGGTATAAAGACAAGATATTTAATGCTTTACTTCACAAATTTCATTGTTTTTTTTGTTTTTTTTTTCTGAAATTGATGCCTGCAACACATTCCAAAAAGTTGGGACAAGGGCTTTTTAGTACTACTGAACTGCATGGATTTTAGGTACTTCACTTGAATATCATCAAAAAATTCAGGGAATCCAGAGAAATTTCTGTGTATAAAGGTCAAGGCCGGAAAAAGTAATATTGAGTGCCTGTGACTTATTATCACAGATAGCACTGCATTAAAAACTGGCATTCTTCTTTGATGGATATCACCTCTTGGGCTTGGGAGCATTTTGAAAAACCCTTGCCAATAAGCACCATAAGTTGCTGGATCTACAAATGTGGATTAAGCCGTATATCAACAACAACCAGAAACGGTGCAGACTTCTCTGGGCTAAAGGCCGTTACACACAATAAATGTTTTTTGCATTTATTTAGCATAAAATCTATGTACACTTGCTCAGACAACCTACTTTATGAACTTTTCCACTCACATCTCCATTATTCAGTTTGAGCTGCTTTTTGAGATTCTAATCCTTTTAGTATTTGTGAAAAAGTTCCAGTTGCTCAGACACAGCCAAGTCATTATCTTGGTTGCCAAGACCTGAGAAAACACCTGAGACGACTGTGTTTGCTCAGTATGTTCAGGCCACTGGCAAAAGTTCGCAAAAATCTTAGAGAGGGAGAATAAAATAATGTCTCGATCCAGGCCTGTCTCCTATTGAAAACATGTGGAGCATTATGAAGCATAGCATACAACAACAGAGACTGCTGAGCAGCTGCATATGAAAAAAATCCATTTTATAACTACAACAATTGGTGTCCAAACGATCAAAAGAAAGGTGATATAACAGTGGTAAACATCCGCCTGTCCCAACTTTTTTGGAACATGTTGTAGACAAAGTTAGAAAAATACATATGTACAAAACAAAGTTAATTAGTTGAAACGTCTTTGTACTGTTTTCAACTGAATACAGGTCAAAAAGGATGTGCAAATCATTAGTATCTGTTGTTATTCACATTTTATCTACCGTCCCAACTTTTTTGGAATTGGGTTTGTATAATAATCTGTGTATATTCAGTGCCCTGTCATGAAGAAATGGTAAGAACTGTCCTGATCAAAGCCAGTGGATTGCACATGAATGAAGACTAAACATAAGAAAGCCTTAGCTCTAACATTATCAGGCAGTATCTATTCATAAGACAGTATTGTAGTACTCGTTGTATTACCTCAGGGTCATTCTGTGTCCATTTTACTACGCATCTTTATCCATCTCGCTCTTTTCAGAGAACTCTTTGGGTGTTTGAGTAGGCTGAACACTTGATGCCTTTAAACAGGCCATCTTAGTCACTGGACCCTGGTCTTCATCTTCATTAGAAGGGCTCTCCAACATCTCAGAATCATTCGAAGTATCATCACTGGTGTCTTGAGAATTTGGAACTGGTCTGGTTCTCTTTTTCTGTAGTTCATTTTTAATGACTTTCCCCTCTTTGGCATTTGGATCTTCAAACATTGTACTCAGATCTTCAAATTCTTCATCTTGTTCCTGATTTGTGTTTAGATTGTCCAACATGATCTGTTCTTCTTGATCTATACAAACATTTTAATAGTGTTTGTGAGTGACAACCATGAAACATCAAGCAGAATAACCAGTGCTAGTTAAGGGAGTATTTGTTAGCAGTTGGATACAATTATATGAACTATTTTTAGATGCTAATCACCTCATGGAGCTGGATTGTATGCTCACTCACATTAAACAGCACTTTTCATAGAGGTGGCAGCTCAAAGTGCTTTACGGACAGGTGATAAAGCTTAACAGTAGCAGAAGACATTTATGAAATATGAAATTAAAATCATAAAAAGTAACAGTGGACATTTAGCTCTGCTCATTTAGCCTCTAAAACTAACTTGCTGATATACATTGATGAGCCAAAACATGTTCAAATGTAGCGAATAATGTTCGTTGTCTTGTGCATGTCGGGTTCTGGGATATTATATTAGATGGTTATTGAACAGTCGATTCTCGTAGTCGTAAACACATCAGCGATTTTGACAAGGGCCAAATCGTTATGGCCAGACGACTGGATCCATCTCCAAAATGACAAGGCCTGTGGGGCTCTCCTGGTCAGCATCCGACCATCCCCTGTCAGTGTTTATGTTATATGTATTTTGCATATTGTGCTGCCACCGCTGCTGAAAAAAGTCCTAGAGGAAACACTGCCCATTTATTTGCACCAGTAAACTGGACTGTTTAGATTTGTTTTTATTATAAAACTCTAACAAAAATCCATTCAAGAATTCTTATAACAGAGCCACAATCACTGAAAAACTAATTATTATTTTCTAAAGTACTGTGCCGGCTGCCATATGCTCTGTTCAGAGAAAAAGGGACTTTGGTGCACAGTATGCATGGTCTGCACCGTAGCCCCGCCCCCCTGATAAAAGGACTGTTTATGTTCTTGTTTATGCTGTTAATGTTGTATGTTATTGTGGCTTAGTTTAAGAGTGTCCATGTGTTTATTCGCGGTTAATTGTGTTTGTGTAGCGAAAACTGGTGTGCGGGAAGAGTAAGTGTAAGGTTAGTTATGGTTACTGGCTAGTGGCATTCCTGCCTTGTTCTAAATAAAACAGCATTTTTACTAGAAATTATGGTGTTTCCTAACTCTTCTGCATGACGCCACAGTACTGTTCAGATGAGATTATCTTTCCAATGGGAGGGGGGTGATTTTTACCTCAGGATAATTGTAATGGTTTTTATCACCGACTCACATGGGATAAGAAATGTTGGCTTTTACTCAAGAAAAGAGCAGAAAACATGTCAAAACCTTTAATTTAGCCATTATTCTGTTTACCATGTCTCGCTGTCTCAAGTGAATATATTCTGTCATTAGCTTGGGAAATTCACAGCCAACAGTTCATTACATCACTACATAATTTAAATGATTTTTTTGTCATTTCATGTTTTAACGTTTTGAGTTGTAAACTTTAAACGGTGCTTAAGACTCACCTGCCTCTGCTGCCTCTTCTGCTGTCGGTTTAGATGTTTCGTTCTCCTGGAATGAACATGGAAAATAGAAGAGTTCGTTGGGACGTATCATTTCCATTGAGATTTATTTAGATACGGTTTATTGCAGTAGATGTTAAAAATGTCTGATTTTGTCTGAAGTCTGAAGGTTTTTGTGGTTCTGTCAGCAGTGCTGTACATATTCAGCGGTAAAGAGGACAGAATGAGCACAGTGGATAAACACTCACCTGGGCGTCTGGAGCTGTGGGGCCTGATGGTAGAAGGCCTGTCAAATAACTGTAAAAGCTTCCAACTGGTAAAATGAGTAAACAGACAAAAGACGTCTGAGCTTCAGAGACAGACAGTCAGTTTTAACATTGTCTAATGATGTAGTAATAAACACTCTAGTGCTAATAATAATAACGTAAGATGTGACGTACCTGTCTGAGAAAACGATGAACTGTTTACCTAACAGTGGAGATCAAAACATCAGAGTTTATATTGCTGTTACTTTTACCACCACTAAACTTAGTTACAGTTTCTAATTGCTTATGATTGTTACTTGTTTCCTACTCTGTGATATTGAAAGTAAGGTTTCCACTTCATTGTATTTCCGAGTTTAAGTAAGTATTGAATGAATATGCGGTGAAGAATCTATATGAGCATGTGACATTAAACATTTTAAACACTGTAATGTTTGTGACTGTAATTTAGTATTCTGTAAATGTGGTTGGAAATTAAAAGTAGCAACATTTCTATGTTAAGTAACTAAATACCAGAGATTTTATCCACTCTGTAACTTTATCCAGAGCTTCCTGGTTCCTCTGGCTTCCCAGGAGTCCTCTGTCCTCGTGGAACAGACAGTCCACAGTGAGAGTTCTCTCTCTGGTTACTGCTCTGCTGCTGTCTGGTACAGTGTAATCTGGGTCAAATGTGTGATGGAGAACCACTAGAACCGCAGGCCTGGAGTCTGTAGTAAAGAAAATATACACAGTCTTGTCAACGACAACTCTAATGTTTAACTCTACTTAAATCATTTTGCAGTATATGCCTTAAAGTATGTGGACACCCCTCCTAATTACCACGTTCAGGTGTTTCAGCCACACCCATTGCTAACAGGTATTGTATAAAATCAAGCACGTAACCTTGCAGTCTTGATAGGCAAACACTGGCAGTAGAATGGATTGTACTGAAGAGCTCAGTGACTTTAAACAGGGCTCTGTCATAGGATACTGCCTCTGCCACAAGTCAGTTTGTGAAATTTCTGTCCTGCTAGATCTGCCCCAGCAGTGGAACTGTGTTCTCTGGAGTGATGAATCAGCTTCTCTATCGGTCAGTCTGATGATGAATCTGGGTTTGGTGGAGGTCAGGAGAACATTACCTACCGGAATGCAGAGCCAACAGTACAGTTTGGTGGAGGAGGGATGATGGGCGGGGCTGTTTTTCAGGGTTTGGGCTCTCAGTTCCAGTGAAGGGTGATGTTGATGCTACAGCACACACAAACTATGGATTTCGAATTGGACCTCCAACAAGCTCATGTAGGTGTGTTGGTCAGGTGTCAACATATGTTTAGTCATATACAGTGCTGCCTGAAAATTTGTGAACCCTTCATCATTTTATGAAGTTTATAAATTAAATATAAGTAAAACAAATAACGCAAAAAGTATATAGGTTTTCAGTCTTTTATTAAGTAATCTAACATTAAATGTCTTTGTGAACCTCTACTTTCAGTAACTAGTGTGACACCTTTTAGCTGCAATAACTTCAACCAAACGGTTCCTGTAACTGTTGATCAGTGCTGCACGTTGACTTAGAGGAATCTTGGCCCGTTCCTCCTTACAGAACTGCTTAAACTATGTTATGCTGGTGTGCTTTCTTTCATTAAACTCCACTATACCTTAGGTTCTGCCACAAAATTTCCATTGGATTAAGGTCTGGATTTTGACTTGGCCATTCCAAAATGCAACGTTTGTTCCACTTTAGCCATTCTTTGTAAACTATCTGGTGTTTTTAGGGGTGTTGTCTTTCTGCAGGACCCACCCTTTGTTGAGGTTCAGTTAATGGATGGATGCCTTAACATTCTCATGTAGAATTTCTCAACACAGTCTAGAATTCATACCTACTCTAAATGATGGCAAGCTGGCCGGGTCCAATAGCAGCAAAACAGCCCCAAACCATGATGCTGCCACCACCATGTTTCATAGTTAAGGATGAGGTTCTTATACTGGAATGCAGTGTTTGGTTTTGCCAAACATAACATCTTTTATTTAAGCCACAAAGATCCATTTTTACCTTATCTGTCCACATTGTTTCGGTAGCCTTCTGGCTCATCCAGGTGGTCTTTAGGAAACTTTAAACAGGCAGCAGTGTTCTTTCTGGAGAGTGGTAGCTTTCTCAAAGCTACCATTCCATATGTACTATTCACCTTGTGTTTGTCTGATGGTGGATTCATGAACACTGACATTATCTAGTCTAAGAAGAACCTGCCGATCCTTATGTTTCCCTGGAGTTCTTTGTGATCTTCCAAAAGATTCTATGCCTTATTCTTGGCCACTTGATGACCACTCCTCGGAAGGGTAACTGTGGTGTTGAATTTTCTGCTTTTTGTTCTGCTTTTTTGATCTGCCTGACAGTAGAATGATGAAGTCCAAACTCTTTTTACTTTAGATATTTTAGAAATTATTTTAGAATCTCTTCTAGCCTAGTGAGCATTGGCAAAGGGGTCCTCAAAAATAAAATGTGACTGAGACATGGCATGCATTAAAAATGTGTGAGGAGAAGACCAGATTTTGATGGTGAAGACTCAATGTTTTTTTAAACAGGGTAGGGTCAGCCACACTCACACCTGATTGTCCTTCAATTAATTGAACCTCCTGATCCTAATTATCACCTCTACCAAAAATGATAATTCTAGAGGTTTACATACTTTTGCTAAAAAAAAAAAATTAGTGTTGGATCATTTTGTTCAATAACTGGATGAAAAACTATATTGTTTTTGTTATTTGTTTGCTTGATTTCACTTTATCTTTTGTTATAACTTAACTGAAGATCTGATCATGTTTTGGGTCACATTTATGTAGAAATTACAAAATAATATAAGGCTGACAAACTTTCAAGCAACATTGTAGCGCATCATCAAATGTACATTGATTTTTCAGTCTGAGCACAGCTGGTACCTGACAGATGCTGAAGTTTTTCTAGCGCTGCTTTAATATCAGTTCCAGCTCGAGAAACAACAGGACAGAAAGCCAGAATGATGTCACACTCCTCCACATTAAACACCTCCTTCAGGCCGGGTATTCGTTCATTCAGCTTCCTCAGATATTCCTCATCTGCTTTCAGCGTTTTTCCAGACACACAGCGCAGATACTTCAGTTTTCCTACAAACAGAAATGACTCACAGTTACCATCCAGAAAGACACTGATGTGTTTCAGCACAATAAAAAGCTCAAATATTTTATGGATCACTACTATCTGTTACGACTCAGTGAACCCTTCAGATTTGTTAATCTGAAGCTCTGTAAAAGTGAAACCTCAGTCAGGAATGGTTATAATAGAATCAGAGTCACTCCAGAACTAATTCTTTTTCAGACTCACCTGCCTCTGCTGCCTCTTCTGCTGTCGGTTTAGATGTTTCGTTCTCCTGGAATGAACATGGAAAATAGAAGAGTTCGTTGGGACGTATCATTTCCATTGAGATTTATTTAGATACGGTTTATTGCAGTAGATGTTAAAAATGTCTGATTTTGTCTGAAGTCTGAAGGTTTTTGTGGTTCTGTCAGCAGTGCTGTACATATTCAGCGGTAAAGAGGACAGAATGAGCACAGTGGATAAACACTCACCTGGGCGTCTGGAGCTGTGGGGCCTGATGGTAGAAGGCCTGTCAAATAACTGTAAAAGCCTCCAACTGGTAAAATGAGTAAACAGACAAAAGACGTCTGAGCTTCAGAGACAGACAGTCAGTTTTAACATTGTCTAATGATGTAGTAATAAACTCTCTAGTGCTAATAATAATAACGTAAGATGTGACGTACCTGTCTGAGAAAACGATGAACTGTTTACCTAACAGTGGAGATCAAAACATCAGAGTTTATATTGCTGTTACTTTTACCACCACTAAACTTAGTTACAGTTTCTAATTGCTTATGATTGTTACTTGTTTCCTACTCTGTGATATTGAAAGTAAGGTTTCCACTTCATTGTATTTCCGAGTTTAAGTAAGTATTGAATGAATATGCGGTGAAGAATCTATATGAGCATGTGACATTAAACATTTTAAACACTGTAATGGTGGTGACTGTCTGGCATGGTGCTTTAAAAAAAGAAATATTTTGAAAATCTGAAACATTTTTAAAAAAAAAGTAATTTAGCATTCTGTAAATGTGGAGGTAAATTTAATTCAAAAGTTAAAAAGTAGCAATATTTAAATAATAATAGAAAATTTGTGTTAATTAAATACCAGAGGTTTTATCCACTCTGCAACTTTATCCACTGCTTCCTGATTCGTCTGGCATCTCAGGAGTCCTCTATCCTCGTGGAACAGACAGTCCACAGTGAGAGTTTTCTCTCTGGTTACTGCTCTGCTGCTGTCTGGTACAGTGTACTCTGGGTCAAATGTGTGATGGAGAACCACTAGAACCGCAGGCCTGGAGTCTACAGTTTAAAGAAAAACATGCACAACTTTTGTCGAAAAAATATAGCTAATCTTAAACTCAGGCCAAATTATTTTGCACTAAGTATGTGGACACCCCTCCTAATTATTAAGCTCAGGTGTTTCAGCCACACCCAAAGCTAGCAGGTATATAAAATTAAACACACAGCCATGTAGTCTCTTCAGACAAACACTGGCAGTAGAACAGGTCATAGTGGTGAGCTCAGTGACTTTAAACATAGCCATGTTATGGGATGCCACTTTTGCTACAAGTCACTTTGTGAGATTTCCGTCCTGTTAGAGCTGCCCCAGACACCTGAAAGTGTTGTTATTGTGAAATGGAAGTGTCCAAGAGCAACTCAGCCACAAAGCAGTAGACCATGCAAACAAATTTGGGCCCCTTAGTTCCAGTGAAGGGTGTTGTTGATGCTGCAGCACAATTTACGTAATTACAAACTGTGTCAGCAGTTTGGGGAAGAGCCTTTCCTGTTCCAGCGTGACTGAGCCCCTGTTCACAAAGTGAGCTCCATAAAGGCATGGTTTGACGAGGAACTCCAGTGGCCTGCACAGAGCCCTGACCTCAACCCCACTGAACACCTTTGGGATGAACATTGGAACATTGACTGTGAGGTCAGGCACTGATGTTGGACTGAATGGGCACAAATTCCCCCTAACACACTCCATAATCTTGTAGAAAGCTTCCCAGAAGAGTGGAAGCTGTTAGAGCTGCAAAGGGGGGCAACTCTATGTTGCCTGTGGTTTTGGAATGGGACGTCCAACAAGCTCATATAGGTGTGATGGTCGGAGGTCCACATACTTTAGGCCATATAGTGTATCTACAAAGGTGCATTAATGCTTTACTCTGAGCACACAGATTGTACCTGATAATCGCTTTAGTTTGCTCAGCGCTGCTTCAATATCAGTTCCAGCTCGAGAAACAACAGGACAGAAACCCAGAATGACGTCACACTCCTCCACATTAAACACCTCCTTCAGGTCGGGTATTCGTTCATTCAGCTTCCTCAGATATTCCTCATCTGCTTTCAGTGTGTTTCCAGACACACAGCGCAGATACTTCAGTTTTCCTACAAACAGAAATGACTCAGTTATCATCCAGAAAGACACTGATATGTTTTTACATAAATACACTGCATCAGTATTTTGTGGGTCACTGTTATTTATCATGATTCAGTAAATTGATTGCTAAAGAATGTTTTAATCAAACTGATTTATAGAATAAATAAATAAATGTAATGATTTCATGTCCTACAAACAAGACCCATATCCACCAATAAAGTCAAAAACAGACAGAATGTACTGAGTGTTTATACTTGGCACGTTGCTGGTATTCATATGTTTCTGTTAACCAAATGTGTACTTATCCTTTTGTACATCCTGAAGGGTGCTGCATTTACTTCTGTGGTTGCCATAAAATATAGATTGTTCATGTTATTTCTAGAATTAAACTGATCATGGCAGCATTTTCCAGACTTTTTTCAAATTCAAATCAAACTTAAATCAGATTAAATCCCCCTAAGACAAAGTCCCACCTGGTGTCCCACCAACAATGTTTGATTGACAGGAAGCCTTGCTGACAGTGAAAATGCAGATGTGCTGGAGTGCCACTATGAGGAAATGCAATTGTCAGTGGACAGTAGTTTTTCCTTGAAATGTTCTTCAATGAAAATTAAACGTCAGAAAGATTTTGCTTTTCCATCTTAACCTTTATCAGCCATTAAATGCAAATGTAGATGCACATTTTGTATTTGAATTTTATTAATATCTTAAGTAATACGCTCTCACAGCGGAAATGCAACTGAAAATGCACATCTTAATTAGCATTTTCAAATCTGCATTTGATTTTGAAAAAAGTCAGGAATATGCTGCCATATTCTGATTTCTTTGATTCAGCTGTACTGCACTTCGTCTGTCATGCCTTTTCCACAGTTTGCTTTATTGATTTATTGTAGGAGATAAATGTGTATAAAATACTCACATATAACACTAAATCATCATAAATTATGGACAAACAAATAATCTACTCATATAGCCCCTAACAATTAACTGGTTGTAATGTATATCTTACGCTGAGCTCCATAATTATTGGTATCCTTGGTAAAGATGGTTAATAAATTTGTAATATTGTTTCTGTCAATCTCTAATTGAAAATGTGAGAGAAATAGGTTAGATTTCTCTCATATTTTCATTTTTAGTTTAACCACAAAGACAACAGTGGCAGTAATAATGGAGCTCTCTGTACATTTCAGGCTCTGAAGTATTTGATTTTATGATGTGGATCTGACTATAGGAAGGCTTTTATATCAGTCAGGCATTAATATAACAGAACCACGGTCAGCCCTCAAATAATTATTTTCTCTCCGGCTCACCTGGACACACTGCCGGCTCTCCTGCTGACGGTTCAGAATTCTCGCTCTCCTGCTGACAGATTGTAGAAATGAAAACAGAGTATTTAGTTTGGGTGTAGAACTGAGCAGTGCTCTAAGTACACAGCAGTGAGGTGAGGAGAATGAGTAGAGAATGAGTGCAGAGACCAAACACTCACCTGGGGCTCTGAATCTGGGGCGTTGGCTGTTAGAGAGGCGACAGACAACAGAGCATGTTTGAATGCCTTTGGTAGAAAGTCACTTTAACATGAAGGAACAGTTCAGAGAAAATCAAATTTACACTTTTTCTCTCTCAGGAAAAAGGTCTTCATTATGGTGGCACAGACTCATAACTAACTAGCTTAACTAGCTTAACTAACAAAGCAAAATTTGGACTCTAAACATGGCTACATCTGAGGTCAGTGGAAACCCTTAAAGAAAAACCACATGAACTTCACACATGAATAAACTAATGTGGTTTTAAACACTTCACATGTGAAATGTTTGTGATTTTTCTGAAGGGAAGTTGTGTACATTTGATTTTTGAACCAAATTATTCATTTTATGTTTATGTTTAAGCAAGTCTAATTACGTATGAATTACAAATAATGCTAATATCACCAAGAATAACATAAAGGTGCCAGTAATGTAATAATAGAATGAGGCAGAACTTACATGTTTTTGTTTTACCTTGAGTTTTCACCTAAAAATGAAGCGTCAAAACAATGTGAAATATAACATTTTGAAGGTCGTGTGACTCTGTCAGGGCTGGTACTTTAAAACAGGAGCGCTAATCCACAATGAGATTTCATATTTGTAATAAAATATGTGGTTTGCGATTTGTTTATCATTCAGTTACAATGAAATGTATTCATTTAACAATTGTAATTTACCATCCTGAAGGTGTGGATGGAAATGTAATTCAAGAAATAGAAAAAGCAAACCTTAAATTACTTTGTAAAACTGATTTTAAACTCAATACCAGAGATTTTATCCACTCTGTAACTTTATCCAGAGCTTCCTGGTTCCTCTGGCAGCTCAGGAGTCCTCTATCCTCGTGGAACAGACAGTCCACAGTGAGAGTTTCCTCTCTGGTTACTGCTCTGCTGCTGTCTGGTACAGTGCAGTCTGGGTCAAATGTGTGATGGAGAACCACTAGAACAGCAGGCCTGGAGTCTGTAGTAAAGAAAAACATAAATGCAAAAGGAACCAGAGCAGGCTTTGTGTCAGTGGAGGATTTTTTGTTTGAGTCATTTGTGAATAAACACTCCTTATTACACCCCCAATGTTCTCTGTGTGTATTTCTGGGTGTACTTTGTTTTCTCAGCCAGTACGAATCGTCCGCTCTCTGTTGGTGCCATCTGGCAATGCTCCGCCCCATCTAGTGCCTCACTGTCAATACAGTATTATCATCATGTTGCCAGGCCCTGCAGTGCTGCCTGGACCCCCCGGAAGGCACCTGGTCACATAGCGCCACCCAGTGACAAAGTGGTGCTCAGCCCCACAGCACTGCACACAGCTGTGCTGCATCTCAGATTCCTTCTCCTACTTGGACTCAGTCAGTGGACCTAGCCTAACCTTCGGCACTAGTGGTGCTCTAAGAGGGGAGGGACGTGGTGGCCAAGAGGAAGAGGAGGGGAGAGGACCTCGGCTAGGAAGCCACATGAGAGACTGCTGCCAAGCAATCAGGGCTTTGTTTCAAGAATTTGCTCTATTTTTAGTTATTAGTAAATAAAACTCACTACTGAGTTCCTGAGCTGCTCTCTCTGAGTTCCTTAGCTGCTCTCTCTGTGTTCCTGAGCCGCTCTCTCTGAGTTCCTGAGCCGCTCTCTCTGAGTTCCTGAGCCGCTCTCTCTGAGTTCCTGAGCTGCTGTCTCTGAGATCCTGAGTCGCTCTCTCTGAGTTCCTGAGCTGCTCTCTCTGAGTTCCTGAGCCGCTCTCTCTGAGTTCCTGAGCCGCTCTCTCTGAGTTTCTGAGCCGCTCTCTCTGAGTTCCTGAGCCGCTCTCTCTGAGCTCCTGAGCCGCTCTCTCTGAGCTCCTTAGCCGCTCTCTCTGAGTTCCTGAGCCGCTCTCTCTGAGTTCCTGAGCTGCTCTCTCTGAGTTTCTGAGCTGCTCTCTCTGAGTTTCTGAGCTGCTCTCTCTGAGTTCCTGAGCTGCTCTCTCTGAGTTCCTGAGCCTCTCTCTGAGTTCCTGAGCCGCTCTCTCTGAGTTCCTGAGCCGCTCTCTCTGAGTTCCTTAGCTGCTCTCTCTGAGTTCCTTAGCTGCTCTCTCTGAGTTCCTGAGCCGCTCTCTCTGAGTTCCTGAGCCGCTCTCTCTGAGTTTCTGAGCCGCTCTCTCTGAGTTCCTGAGCCGCTCTCTCTGAGTTCCTGAGCTGCTCTCTCTGAGTTCCTGAGCCTCTCTCTGAGTTCCTGAGCTGCTCTCTCTGAGTTCCTGAGCCTCTCTCTGAGTTCCTGAGCCGCTCTCTCTAAATTCCTGAGCCGCTCTCTCTGAGTTCCTGAGCCGCTCTCTCTGAGTTCCTGAGCCGCTCTCTCTGAGTTCCTCTGCTCTCTCTGAGTTCCTGAGCTGCTCTCTCTCAGATCCTGAGCCGCTCTCTCTGAGTTCCTGAGCCGCTCTCTCTGAGTTCCTGAGCCGCTCTCTCTGAGTTTCTGAGCTGCTCTCTCTGAGTTTCTGAGCTGCTCTCTCTGAGTTCCCGAGCTGCTCTCTCTGAGTTCCTGAGCTGCTCTCTCTGAGTTCCTGAGCTGCTCTCTCTGAGTTCCTGAGCCTCTCTCTGAGTTCCTGAGCCGCTCTCTCTAAATTCCTGAGCCGCTCTCTCTGAGTTCCTGAGCTGCTCTCTCTGAGTTCCTGAGCCGCTCTCTCTGAGTTCCTCTGCTCTCCCTGAGTTCCTGAGCTGCTCTCTCTGAGTTCCTGAGCTGCTCTCTCTGAGTTCCTGAGCCTCTCTCTGAGTTCCTGAGCCGCTCTCTCTGAGTTCCTGAGCTGCTCTCTCTGAGTTCCTGAGCCGCTCTCTCTGAGTTCCTCTGCTCTCTCTGAGTTCCTGAGCTGCTCTCTCTGAGTTCCTGAGCTGCTCTCTCTGAGTTCCTGAGCCGCTCTCTCTGAGTTCCTGAGCTGCTCTCTCTGAGTTCCTGAGCCGCTCTCTCTGAGTTCCTGTGCTCTCTCTGAGTTCCTGAGCTGCTCTCTCTCAGATCCTGAGCCGCTCTCTCTGAGTTCCTGAGCCGCTCTCTCTGAGTTCCTGAGCTGCTCTCTCTGAGTTCCTGAGCTGCTGTCTCTGAGATCCTGAGTCGCTCTCTCTGAGTTCCTGAGCTGCTCTCTCTGAGTTTCTGAGCTGCTCTCTCTGAGTTCCTGAGCCTCTCTCTGAGTTCCTGAGCCGCTCTTTCTGAGTTTCTGAGCTGCTCTCTCTGAGTTCCTGAGCTGCTCTCTCTGAGTTCCTGAGCTGCTCTCTCTGAGTTCCTGAGCCTCTCTCTGAGTTCCTGAGCTGCTCTCTCTGAGTTTCTGAGCCTCTCTCTGAGTTCTTGAGCTGCTCTCTCTGAGTTCCTGAGCTGCTCTCTCTGAGTTCCTGAGCTGCTCTCTCTGAGTTTCTGAGCTGCTCTCTCTGAGTTCCTGAGCTGCTCTCTCTGAGTTCCTGAGCTGCTCTCTCTGAGTTTCTGAGCTGCTCTCTCTGAGTTCCTGAGCTGCTCTCTCTGAGTTCCTGAGCTGCTGTCTCTGAGATCCTGAGTCGCTCTCTCTGAGTTCCTGAGCTGCTCTCTCTGAGTTTCTGAGCTGCTCTCTCTGAGTTCCTGAGCCTCTCTCTGAGTTCCTGAGCCGCTCTTTCTGAGTTCCTGAGCTGCTCTCTCTGAGTTCCTGAGCTGCTCTCTCTGAGTTCCTGAGCCGCTCTCTCTGAGTTCCTGAGCTGCTCTCTCTGAGTTCCTGAGCCGCTCTCTCTGAGTTCCTGTGCTCTCTCTGAGTTCCTGAGCTGCTCTCTCTCAGATCCTGAGCCGCTCTCTCTGAGTTCCTGAGCCGCTCTCTCTGAGTTCCTGAGCTGCTCTCTCTGAGTTCCTGAGCTGCTGTCTCTGAGATCCTGAGTCGCTCTCTCTGAGTTCCTGAGCTGCTCTCTCTGAGTTTCTGAGCTGCTCTCTCTGAGTTCCTGAGCCTCTCTCTGAGTTCCTGAGCCGCTCTTTCTGAGTTTCTGAGCTGCTCTCTCTGAGTTCCTGAGCTGCTCTCTCTGAGTTCCTGAGCTGCTCTCTCTGAGTTCCTGAGCCTCTCTCTGAGTTCCTGAGCTGCTCTCTCTGAGTTTCTGAGCCTCTCTCTGAGTTCTTGAGCTGCTCTCTCTGAGTTCCTGAGCTGCTCTCTCTGAGTTCCTGAGCTGCTCTCTCTGAGTTTCTGAGCTGCTCTCTCTGAGTTCCTGAGCTGCTCTCTCTGAGTTCCTGAGCTGCTCTCTCTGAGTTTCTGAGCTGCTCTCTCTGAGTTCCTGAGCTGCTCTCTCTGAGTTCCTGAGCTGCTGTCTCTGAGATCCTGAGTCGCTCTCTCTGAGTTCCTGAGCTGCTCTCTCTGAGTTTCTGAGCTGCTCTCTCTGAGTTCCTGAGCCTCTCTCTGAGTTCCTGAGCCGCTCTTTCTGAGTTCCTGAGCTGCTCTCTCTGAGTTTCTGAGCTGCTCTCTCTGAGTTCCTGAGCTGCTCTCTCTGAGTTCCTGAGCCTCTCTCTGAGTTCTTGAGCCTGTCAGGCTGCTGTCACAGTGTGTTAATGCTGATCACTCTGGTACCTGATAACTCCTGAAGTTTCTGCAGCGCTGCTTCAGTGTCAGTGCTGGAATGGAAAAGCAGGATGAAATCACACTCCTCCACATTAGACACCTCCCTCAGACCGGGCATTCGTTCATTCAGCTTTCTCAGATACTCCTGATGTGTATTCAGTGAGTCTTCAATCACACAGTGCAGATACTTCAGTTCTAGAAGCAGAAATGAATCACAGTTACCATCTAAAAAGGCACTGATACGTTTACAAATACAGAAAGTTAGAAATCAGCTGTTTGTTATGACTCTGTGTTTAGGTTTCCATCACATTATAATATTAGATGTAACAAAAATGCATTAAATAAAATGTTAATTTTGTGCCAGTGTTGTTTGTTCTACCCATTGAGAAGAGCAACTGTGCGTGTACATATCGTTATTAAAGTGTAGTAACGCCACGCATTAAAATTAGCCTGTTTTGAATTCATTGCTTTTGTGATGTCACAAGAATCAGTCCGTTTACATATTTACATATATCCACCTATTCAGCCCACAACAGTTTAACTCAGAGGCAACAATCAGAGGTCATTTACATTTACTTCAGTCTTAAAAGCACAGTAACAAAAATAGCCTGATTAATTCTGAGGGATAAAGAGAGGTCAGAAAATATTCATGTAAAAAAATAATTATGACAATTTTTGATAAATAAAACGATACGGATGTTATAATGAGGATGTCAGAAAAATTGTAGGATATCAAAATATCCTATATTTTTATATAGGGGGCTGCTTATGAACCCAACAGTAAGACGTGTTGACAAGGTTGGACAATTCATTAGCTTTATTCATTACAGCAGCTTGTTTTCATCACATTGACATATTGTAGAAAGAAACAGCACTTTAATGCAATGATGTAATTGACCTGCAACTTTCTTAACATTCCTTGTTAAATATAGCTTATTAACGTTAGTTTATAATTTCAGTGAAGACAGGCTCTGATCTGTCTGCTGTTCATCTCTTTTATTTTGTTTGTTTTGTTTTTTAGGAGATGCATGTGATCCTTAACCCCTTAAATGGCCAAGGCCCACTGGCAGCCCCAAAGTTCTATTACACACATGTATGATCTAAGAATAGCTCAGCCAGTTTGCATTAAAGTCCCTGTAGTTACTGATTTTTTTCTCATGTGTTACATATTTTTTCCATAGAATCCCTCAGTACAGAGATGCCTAGCGAAGCTCCTGACTGTGATATATTTGACTGAAGTTAAACACTGTTATGTATCTTCTGATCATCTGGACAGAAAGGTCAGTCATTCTCCTCCTAAAGTATATCAGTCTATGGAAGCAGCACATCATGTTCCACCTACGCCAGTCCATCAACATCCCCAACCATAACGTTAACTGACACTGAAATATCAGATAAACACTCACCTGCGGGGTCTTCAGTCGAACCGTAATTAAACCAGGAACTAAGAAAACTCATCTTCTCCACTGGGCTGTTACTGACGTCCTCCTCACAGCTGAAGTTCCCTCTTTTTCAGTGATATCAAAGACAGAAAGACCAGCTGCTGTTCTATAAATGCATTTTACACACAAATCACAACACAGTAATGTTATTCACTGCTGCAGGAAGGACATGCAGGTATTTACTGTACCTGTAAGAACTGTAACACGAACATGAACAACAAATCTATTAATACAGCTCTATTATCAGTGTTATACTGCTGTGTACACAATAATGAGGAACGTGTTATTATAGATTAGATCACAGAGCTCTTTGGAGAGCAGGATGTTTACACTGAACACCCCAACAGTGAAACCAAAACCTGCAGGAACACTGTCTGATGTCTGATGTTTACAGCGCTGCTCGATGATCAAAAAAATAGTTTACAAAATATTCACCATGTCTTTATGTTTTAGTCTTTAGGATATGTTATAGTTTAGAAACCATTAGATGGTGACACTTAAGACAGAAATCAGAAAATAAGCGATGAAGGCATTTATATACACACACGCATATTATTAATGAATAAATATGTAAATAAGCCACTAAATAAACAGAGTAAACCTCTATATTTACTGAAAGCTTCTGCTGCTACTCACCTCAGCAGTTCCTGGCAAACACGTCTAATGTAAATATTTTCACTTTCATTTTAACCTCACACTGCAGTGACTCTTTACTGCCCTCTTCAGTTCACTGTGTAGAACAGCACAGCCAGACCACCAACTGCTGTTTGTTCATCTGAGCATTTTAATCAGCTGATTTATAGTAATAGGCTTAAATTGAATTCAGTGGCTTTTAGATTACTTAAAAACTTGTACTGTGTAATAAAAGATTATTAGTTCACTTACATTTCAGAAGGGAACAGTAACTCAACATCAACATACAGGAAAATAGGAAAATATTCCTTCAAATGAAATGATTTTTCATTTGTTTAGTTTTTCCTTAGTAGGTTTAGTACAGGTGATGTAAAACTGGCCTATGCAAATCTGCATAATGTAACAGGCTTAAGTAATACTGTAATTTGGAGCAGCAACAAATGCTTAAAATTTACAAAAATGTACAAAACCTGAAATGAAGAACGAAGTATGCACTGTTTGTTACTAACTAGTCTCAAATTCAACTTTAGCTTCAGACGCAATTATCAGAATTGATTTCACTGTCGTTGTCAATTCAGAGAGACAAACCTTTGTTTATTAAGTGAGATCTTAATGAGTTGCCTGCACACTTTAATAATGAATTGCCTTTCAGAGAAAGACATATATATATATATATATATATACATTTGTACTGTAAACAGTGTGTAAAGTTCATAGTAACCCATCTTTAAAGGTATACAAGTTTCTCCTGTCACACTTTGCAGGATTGCTGAGGTCGCTGTCCATCTGTCCAGCAATGGCTGTTTTGGCTCCTTAATGCGGCACAATCCAGGCATTTAACTGAGCATTTAGCAGTGAATGTTTGTGTATCTTTGCTCCTTTTACTGTTCCTCCATACTTCATTACAGCTTAAAGCTATTTTTAGTTGTCAGATTGTGTGACCAGAGAAACTTTCTGTCTGTGTCTGCCTTTGTTTACCTTCTCTCGTGTGTCCAGCCCTGTGCTTTTGTTGATGGTTTTGTTCTTCTCACCTGTGTGATGTCTGTAGCCCCGCCCTCTCATTAGTCTCAGGTGTTGGTGTCAGTGTATTTATACCCTTTAATCTTTGTTTTCTGGTTGTCTTGCATTACCAGTGTGATCCCTTTGCTGCTGTTGCCTGTTTATAGTTTTCATTAGTCTCATTATGGGATTTTGGTCTTGCTTTGTTTTGTTTGGTTTTGCTCCTGTTTATTTTCCTTTTGTTTCACCACTTATCTGCTCTGCTCACCTCTGATAATCAGTTTCTGGTCAAATCAGATTAAAATAATGACAACTCACACTTGCATCCAGCCTCATAATCTCTATCATTACATATGGTTCCCAATCTGGTCCTCAGGCCCACTCAGATGGTCCACATTTTTGCTAAAGCCCAACTTACTCAAGCAAAAATCTCAAATAAAGTGTAGGGGCTGGGTTGGGAAACACATTTTTGGCACTAATGTAGGGGCAAACATATAAATAACAGAGTGACAAATTTCTGACCAATGTGTAAACACCCACATATAATTTGGTGGTGTTTAGTTGCTGTAATGTGAAACCAACCAAGCCAAATTAAAAAACTGCAGTGTCATAAAAACCCAAACTCTGCTGTGTAACAAGATGTGAAAACAGTCTAATACAGTTGTATCTTTATTCTAATGAAGGATAAAATATATATGTTTTCTTTGGGTTGGAGTTTAAGAACCAGAGCAGATAAAGTTGTTAACCAGCTCTATTATTTCAATGTAAATAATGTCAATGAAAAAAATTGCACTGCTCGGTCAAAGAACGCTGTGTTATCAAGCAATACATTAGTAATTGTACTTTTTAGCATTTCCAGAACCATAGCTAATAATTTCAGAGTAACATGATGTTCCAGTATCTCTGAACAGAATCCTAGAACTGAACTGTAATGGTGATTTAATAACAGTGTGCTCAGAAACTGTTGGAGAAGCACTCAGTTTAGTTGATGTCCCCACATTTCATAACACGGCATCTTGAGATCTAATTTATTTATTTATTAGATCATTCTTATCTGAATCAAGCAGGTTTTTCAACAATACAGACACTGAACTGAAATAGGAACATAATCTGTGTGATTATATCTGTGTGTTATTGGCATAAGAAGTTCATGTTTCACTGTTAGTAAAACTGTCTCAGAAATTAACTACATTCTGTTGACGACCTCAGCCTGAGGAGAATGAAAAGCTGCATAAGCAGAATGATGCAAGCATCTTTGTTGTAACCCAGACATGAAGCAGTGTGTTTGAATTATACTCCAGTAAACTGTATTTTAGTAGAACAGTGGTTCCTATTCTGTGGTGTTGGACTCCCTTGAACGTCAAATAACATGATGTTGGGGATATGTAAAAAAAACTGACATCAATCTTCATTTAATTTGTAATATTTACCATTTAATATTTCAGTATTTTACTCTTTCATTATAATGGGTTGTTGTGGTTGTTGAGGGGGTGTGAGGTATTGTCCAAGATGGCTAACAGCTTGTTGAGCATCCTCTGTTCTGCCACAACCTCCAAAGAGGCCAGCATAGGAGTTTAGTGCCACACCAACAGACCTCAGCCTCCTGAGGAAGCAGAGACGGCTTTGGCCTCTCTTGTATGCTGCGAGTGTTACAGCTCCAGTCCAGCTTGTTGTCCAAGTGCACACCCAGATACTTGTATGAATAAGATGGCTGTAGTTCATTGTGCACTGCTGTGTGTGGATGAGTGTGTGGTGAGTACTTATTACACACTAGGGGTGCAATGATTATTCAACTTAGTCGACTAAAATCGACGACCAAATTAGTTGGCAACTACTTCAGTAGTCGATTAGTTGGTGACGTCATTGGGCGTCTTTCTCACGCTCACTAGGAGCATTTTGACATTACCGCTCACTGGAGAGTTAACAGCAGCCCGACGGCAACCTGAAGAACAAAATCCTCACAAGTGCGGGAGCTAAACTCAGACACAAGGTTGTAGCTGTGCTGTTTGTAAAGCCGAGCTTAGCTGGAGCTCCTCCTCCATGCTGGAGCGTCTGAAGAGGAAACTCGGCGCACTGGGTGAAGATTCATCTCGGTAAGATGCGCCGCGTCCCAAACCGCAAACCCGCTCACTGAATAGTGTGTAAAAATAGCGCACATACCGTTATAAGTGCACTCGTTAGTGTAATGTGTGAAGTACAGAAGTGTGTGGTTTGGGACGCGGCGATACTGTAGCTAGCGAGCTGGTTAGCTAATGCTAATGTTAATGTTAAAAGCTGTCCTATTTCATGTTCTGAGCCGAGCTGGAACATTTTCATTTTCGAAATGCTGTTCCCTGGAATCGTTAACAGAGTTGGAACAGAGCAGCAACTATTATTATTATTCGCAGCGGCCCTGTTCACTTTACAGATAAAGTTTACACTTTTAAACGCTGCATCGACGTCTTAACGTCGAGGCCACCGGTGCGGTCAAATTCAGCGTTTGCAAACAGGGTTACTGTTGAAATTAAATGTTTACACAAAATCGTTAATCTAACTGTTCATAGAGAAGTTTGCGACAAACATTCGCCACTTTCCCCTCCGCTCCATCAGAGCGCGCCTCCTCTGCAGCGGGGAGTATCCGCTCTCAGAGGAGAGCGGGACTCTCACAGGAGCACGGAGAGATACTCTTCGGTTCAATAAAGACCTCGGATTGTAGAATTTAGTTGCAGCAAAGTGTAGACAGACAGCAGAGCACAGAATATAGTTTAAATTTAACATTTCAATTTAGATAGATTTTTTTATTTACTTAATTAAAGGAAAACTGATTTAGTTTTGTTATTTTATTGCTGCTACTTTGCACATCCTTGGTTATAAATTTTGACAGGAAAAATACGTTGTTAACTAGATTAACTTTTCTTAGGTTATAGAAGTGTGTAATAAAACTTTCTGCCTGGCCATTTAGTTGGTTTAAAAAAGTTTGTGAACCACTGTAACAGAACAAATCAGAATGTTTGTGAATATAAATGTTGGCTGTACTTCTTGGTGGATAACTTGCATCTAGTCAGCATGGACGCAGCTCAGTTTACAATTTGCAACAAATACACACACCCACCCACACACACATTTTCTAAACCACTTATCTATCTGGGTTGTGTTTGGGGGGGCGCTGGAGTTGTTGGGCAGAAGGCAGAAACAAATACAAACAGAACAGACAAAACATCAGCAATAACAGTAAAATCGTGTTGTGTTTGATTCTGTATTGTCAAATGTACAGAGTATGTAATAGATTTTTCTCACATTTTTGCAGTTCTCCAGTTTTCTAAAGCAGGCAGAGCTGCTATAAGCAGTATTAACCCCACTCAGGATCCTATGTGTACTAATACTGAAGTAAACAACAATTTAGCACATTCTTTACTCTTCCAGATGAAGATAAAGTTGCTATGGCACTATTATCACCAATATGACCACCAGAATGTCAGCTAGGAGGGTGCATTAAAGTGCTGATTGCTATTTTTGTACAGTTCAGCATAAAGAGACATAAGCTATAAGCTAACACTAATATTTATGCTTGCAGTCACAGGATGAGTGCTTTTGCTCGTGTTTTCACTCGACTGAGAAAATTTTAAGCGGTGTTTGATTCTACACTCAATTCTGTTAACTGTTAATTTGTGTTAGAGCAGTGCAGTGCATCATTCCATACCAGCCAGTAAGGTAAACTAATTAGCGTGGAAGGTAATTAGCCAAATTAGATACTTTACAGGGACAAAAAACACCAGAAAGACCAGTATCACTAATCATAGTTATTATAAACAGTTCTAGCATTCTTGAACAGGTGGGAAATGATCTAGAACTAGAACAACATTTTTTTAATGTGCAGTGAAAAAACAACATAATAAAACAAGTGCTTCAGTTTTGGAGCTGCACTCTTCTGGTTCTTCGGTGTTTTGCTTTTAGTGGTTTGTGTTCCATGCGTCTGTTTGCTGAGCTCTACCTGTCTCCTTTAGTAGCTAGCAGTGACCATTTTTGCATGGATTTGTTCCGCCTTTTAAAACCAGTTAGAGTTAGTGGCTCAATAGGCCTGTT